AGACCGTAGAAGAATTGATGCCTTTGAGTTATGGTGTTGGAGGAGAATACTGAAAGTGCCATGGGCTGCCAAAAGAACCAATAGATCGTTTTGGAGGAAGCACAACCAGAGTGCCCCTTAGAGGCCAAGATGGCCAAACTTCGTCTCTCATACTTTGGATGTATTGTCAGGAGGGACCAGTCGCTGGACAGAAGATATCATGTTTGGTAAGGTGGAGGGTCAGAGTAAAAGAGGAAGACCCTCAATGAGATGGACTGGCCAGGTGGTTGCATCGATGGACTCAAGCATGGTAACAATAGTGAGGTTGGCCCAGGTCCATGCAGTGTTTCGTTCTGTTGTGCATAAGGTTGCTATGGGTCAGTACCGACTTAATGGCACCTAACAACAATCTGAATTTAGGTGCTCTGCTAGCATAGTGGTTTAAGAGTTGGGCTGCTAACTCCAAGGTCAGCAGTTCAAATCTACCAGACACTCCATGAGAGGCAGAGATTAGGTTTTATGCTCCCATAAAAATTTACAGCCTTGGAAATCCTATACAAGATTGCTATGAGTCAAAACTGACTCCCAGGTACTTCACCACCACCAATCCAATCTTGTTACTGCTGCTGTGAGCCATCAAGTAAGTTCTGACTCATAGTGACCTTCTATAGGGTTGCTGAAGCTCTAAATCTATATGGGAGCAGAAAGCCTCATCTTTCTCCTACAGAGCTGTTGGTAGGTTTGGACTGCTAACAGTCCCACATGCAACACACTATGCTACCAGGGTTCCTTAATCTAATCTCCTTGTTGGTCTGAAGTGCTATCAAGTTGTAATCTAATTTTAAGGTAGTTGTGGTGGTGGTGATGTGCTGTGGAGTTGGTTCTGGCTCGTAGAGACCCTGTACAGGGCTTCCAAGTCTGTAAATCTTTTCGGGAGCAGAAAGCCTCATCTTTCTCCCTAGGAATGGCTGGTAGTTTCAACCTGCTGACGTTGAGGTTAGCAGCAAAACTCGTAACCAATGGGCTACCAGAGCTCCTAAATCTTAGGGTAGATTTAAAAAAATCTTAGAGTTCTGTTGTGGTGCTGTAGGATAAGCACTAGACCAAAAGGTTAGTTTGAACTGCAAGGTCGGCAGTTCAACCTACCAGATGCTCCTTGGAAACCCTATAGAACGGTTGCTATGAATCGGAACTAACTCAACAGCACTCAACAACAACAACAAGCTCTTCTGCTTCCATTTTTGACTGCTGCACTGCCTTTGGTTAATCGATACTATTTACATGCAAAGAAAGTAAGGTGAATAAGAGAAGCCAGAAATTAAACCTGCAGTTTTTGCAACTTATACAACTAAAATTGCAAAATGTTTGAGATCGAAATTAATTGCCTGGAAACAACTTTCAAACCTTGAACCCAAATTATCTCATGAAGCCATCTCTAAACAATAATTCAGCTCAACAAAGAATGTCTGTCTTGAGCATTATACGTGATGACGAATGACCTGTATGAGAGGGAAATGACAGCAGTAGCTCTAAAGCACAGATGAGATCTTTAAGGGCAGAGTATTAGTTAACGTTGGTGAACCAACAGGGACAGATAGTGAGAATGACAACACATGTCAACTATGTGGCCAGTGTCAATGAATGGCACATGTGAAAACTGTTAAACATGTGCATGTTTTACTATATACATTTTCACAATTTTTGTTTTTCCTCCAAATGGAACAGATGTTAACTATATAGCCCATGGACCAAATCCACTCACTACCTGTTTTCATAAAGTCTTACTGAAAGATAGTATTTCCATTTGTCTATATACTATCTATTTTGTTTTACACTTCAAGAACAGAGATGAGTTATTGTCACAGAGACTCAGTGATGTGCATAGCCTAAAAGATTTGATATCTGGCCCTTTACGGTAAGTTTGTTGGCCATAACATAGAGACAGAAAAGGTACAGTTTATCTAGGAAATAGGAAGCAGACTGTGACACACTATTTTGTTGGAGAGGGCAATTAGAGAAGATAGTTGTAAGAGTCAGAGATATGAAGGGGCTTCATAGGCCAGACAAAACAAAAGGGGTTTACAAAACTGGATACACTGTAGAGGAAGATGAGAGAAGAGAGACATTGGAGGTTGGAATGACATCATGTTTCTTAGCCTTTCTTGCAGTTAGGTGTGATGGACTGATGTGCCCATTTCTGGATCTGAGCCATAAAAACTTCCGTTCATCTGTTCCCTCTCTTTTCCCATTTGCTAGCTGGGATCAAACCACGGGCTGCCTTGGAGGATCCACGTTGAAGGTGGTAGAGGCCAGGAGAGACCTTTAATCCCTGAACCTGGACTCTTAGCTAAAGACTAACTGTATGTGAGAAATACACTTGTGTTTTGTTATGCAAAATTTTAAATTTCTAAACTGTTTGATGAGAGAAGTGACAAAAAAGAAAGCACCTTTAAGACTAGGGGATTTTCTTTCCTTTATGTTCTATTACTGCAGCTATCAGAGCTGATGATGAAAAAGAATACTCATGGTCTCTCTGGATTAATGGAGACAGTTTACCTTTGTCCTGAAGCAGTTGCAATCGGGGATGGGCCATTAGGGGCTCGTGGCTCCTCACATGTACTCATTTCCATTATTACTTTATCCAGGGACTGATAAAAATACATAAAAATGTAAATAATTCATTAGGTATCTTACTTATGTATATTATGAAAATATTATTTCAGACTATTTTGTTTCATTTCTCTAGAAGCAAAAGACAGTATGAGGATGGAGTCATCTTAAGTGCTTCTCTAAAGGTCTCAAAGACAAATGCCAAAAAAGAAAATAAAGTGCTTTGTTCTTTCTCAAGGCACTTATCTAGTGGAAAAACTTCATATAACACAGGAGTATGTAACAGGCAAAAAACCAAAGACTGTAAGAAGTAGCCACATTATGCTTGGTAATCATAAGATTTTAGGTAAGTGTAATCTTTAATTACATAACTTATTTTACTATTAACTGATAAAAAAAGATTATATACTAATAGATAAGACTGAATGTTCCCTAAAAAGCTTATCCCTAAAAAACTTATCTCAATCTAAGTTCTGAGATGAGAAACTGGTATAAAAAACGTGAAATAAGCAAGAAATATGACAAAATAAATATTCACATAATCTAAAAAGCCTTTATTTTAAGGATACATTTTTGTTGTTGTTTTTTGAAGGAAGACCTAAATCCTGAATAGCTGTTATGGATTGAACTATGTCCAAAATACATGGGATCCTAATCCCTAGGCCTGCAGAAGTAATCCTTTGGAAGTAGGGTTTTGTTATGTGAATAAAATCATACTCAAGTAGGTGGTGGTGGTGGTTGTGTGACACCGAATCAGTTCCGACTCACAGAGACCCTGTTCAGGGTTTCCAAGACTGTAAATCTTTATGGGAGCAGAAAGCCTCCTCTTTCTCCCATGGAGCAACTGAAAGATTCGAAGTGCTGACCGACCTTTCAGTTAGCAGCTCAGCTCATAATCCACTATGCTACCAGAGCTCCTTATATTCGAGCAGAGTAAGTTCTAAACCTAATCACTTCTGAGTTCTAAATACAATAAATGAGACACAAAGATACCATACACACATATAGGATGGTGCTTTATGCAGGTGAGCAATGAGCTGAGAAACACCTGAGGCTACTGACAAGGACAAGATCAATATGGTTCAGACCCTGATTTGGACTTTCAGCACCAAAACTATGAGGAAATACATTTTTGTTCTTAAAAACCACACAATTGTGGTTATTTGTTTAAGATAGCACTAGGTAGCTAATATTAATTAAGATTACACCATCATTCTTCATTCCTGATTTACTATTATTTGGAACTCTTTTATTTGTTGACTTATTATCAATCTCCCTAGGTAAAATATTAAAATATCAATTCCCTCAGGGCACAAAGTTTGAAGAAAATTATTTGTTCATTTATTCCACAATAAATGTTTGTGGAATAAATAAATGAACAAATCATTTCCTTCAACTTTCTTAAAAGCAGAGTATATTAAAGAACATATAATTTATTTTACTTAATTAGTAAAGCAAATAAGTCTCGATCAAATGTTATTAAATGAAAGACTCTTATGGTAAAGAGTTAAATGATGCAATTTAATATACCAACTTACAACATACTTTTCTAACCCTGAAAAACTTCAAAGACTTCCATTTTAAAATTAAACTTCCCATGCAACAACTAAGAAATCTAAGTCCCATCAAAATTTGTGAAAACTATTCAGTGGAAAAGTCAAGAGAATAGGTTAGATAGTATCTATATATAAATGTTTACTTCTTGAGAAATTTCAAAACTTACCAGACAGATGGGATGTGTTTTTAGTTTTGTCCATGGGATCTGGAGGGGGGAAAATTGTTTTAAAATGAATCATTACAAAAAAGAAAGAAAGAGAGAAAAACAAATCAACATAAAACCGTGATCACCACATATGCCCTCTACACAGTGAAGATGTTATAAGCTGTCATTTAGTTGATTCCATCTCATGGCAACCCCATACATGCAGAAGAGACCTGTTCTAGGTCATTTCAAGGCTGTCATCTTTCAGAAGCAAATCATGTGGTCTATCTTCCAAGGGATAAGCAGGTGGGTTCACACCAACTTTTGGGGTAGTAATCCAGTGCTTAACCACTTGCATGACCTAGAAATACCCTATATGGTGTTTTTTTGTTTTTGTTTTTTAGGCTGCAATCTTTAAGACAGCCGATAATCAGGATTTTTCTTCCTGTTGTTGTTAAGTGCCGTTGAGTCAGTACCGACTCATAGCAACTCTACATAGCATTTCTGAGGAGCGAATGGTTAGCTTGAGCTGCCAACCTTGTAGTTCAAAGCAACCTTGCAGTCCAGCACAAGTGCGTACAGCTTGCACCCCCAGGGCTCTTGCCAGTATATAAATAGTGACAAACCAAGAAACTCTGCTGTCCAGTCTATGCCAACTCAGAGTGACCCTATAGGACAGAGTAGAACCATTACACAGCGTTTCCAAAACTACACATCTTTACAGGAACAGATGGTGTCATCTTTTTTCTGCAACGTGACTGGTGAGTTTGAACTGCTGACCCTGCAGTTAGCAGCCCAACATACCAAATTATATCAGGTGACTGCTTTACTTAAATTTCAAAGTAATAAACTGAGCAATTCATTCATACTTTTGAAATCAGATATACCTGTCCTATAGGAAAATACTACTAGCTGTATTTTCTTAGTCACCTTTTCAAATAAGAACTACAAATTCCTTTAAATATCATTGTCCCTACTCTTTAAAAAATCATTCGAGATTCACAATTTAAACTAAGGCTTCCCAGAAATGCACAGTGAGTGCTCTGTTGATTTAACCACTTGTTTAATCCTAGAATACTGATCAATCATTTTGTAGAGATTAAAGACAAATACAGGAGTGAGGTCATGAATATAAAAAACAGGCAATATCAAATATGTTACACCTTCAAACACACACTGCACTAAAAATGTCACATCTTTGCAAATATTTGGGTTTATGGAGAGCAGAGCAAGAATTAAAGCAATTGTACTTAGTTTGTAATCAAAGGTATCTAGGAATCTTCCCATATTCCATTCTTTGGCGCCCACATTTTAATGTTATGAAACAAATGAGCACACAGTACTACCAATGACCACACTCTCCGACTAAACCCGGTTCATTAGGAAAAGGAGTCATACAAATCAAAATATATTATTACGGACAAAATAAGAATATGCTATAAAAATTAAGAATAATAATGAGTAAGCATTAAGCAGAATACAAAAAAACTTCCCTTTGTCTGAATCTAACGAGATTCCTAAATAAGGCTTTGAGAGACCACATGAAACGAAAAAATAACCAAACAGCTGAGTAGAAATGACTGGTAATCCTCAAATGAAACAAAAGTAAATGAAAAACAGATAACTTTAAAAAAAAATCTTCAAAATAAGGAAGAAACAAAAGAAGGGTAAAGTTTCAAATATAAATATAATGTGTAGATTTAGAAATAATCTGTCAATTCTTACAGATTAATGTGAAATCAAGTGCTTATTCATGACAAAATTTAAACAGTCTCATTTGAAAATAAGTCTGATGAGAAACACTATCTTTGAAAATATGCCACGTTGATCAAGGGTATATTATTAAGTTAAAGAGTAATTAATTAAAACTATTAAAATTTTTAATGAAATTTTAGATGAACAAATATGACTTAGCAATTAAGCTCTCAGTCACACATTCATGCAATCACTTACACAAAGGCATTTTCTCCAAATTACATTACTAAAACTGCTTTTTTATAATGTCATCTAAATTAAAACATTTATTTTGAAAAGTACATATGAAATGAAAACAGAAAAGGCCTTCCACAGATATCAAAGTCTCACCCTAATAGATGCTTTGTTACAAAAAACTTTGTTGATAGCCAACCATGTAGGCAAATCCAGCATATTCTGAAGCACTTCTTCATCCAACTCCAAATTTTTCAGTTCACCCTCTCCTTTTAAGGTGCTCAGATTTATCTTGTCAGGAGATAAATTTTTGGTAAATCTGAAAGAGAATACATAATGGCACTGGTTTTAATGTCAGCTATTGTACCCCAAAACCCTTGCAATACAGAGCATTAAAAATGTAACAGCAGCCAAACTATTTCAAGCTAGTATTAGGTTCTATTTAATCCATATTTTTCGATGACTTGTTATTACTTTCGCTTTTATCTCAAAGTTCTCTGCAACTTTTTTGGCACATATTTTAAAATCATATTCCCATATACAATCGAACCAACTTAATAGCATTGGATTTGGTTTTAGGTTTTGGCAAAGGAGTTAAGATAACGGAACATAAGCTGCTTAACAAAAGTACCAAAAATCACAAAGGAAACAGAAATATGATTTCATTAAAGGATTCAGATTCTCTCCCACCCATACTCTACACCAAAGACCCAAGGAACAGATTAGGTCATAATCCCAGAACCCTGAGAACCAACTGGAAGAAGAAACTGAACAGAAAGAGCAAATGATGAGAGATATGAAAGAAAGGTACCCTGCTAGCCACCTAGGCACAATGTGATCACTCTGAGACAGAACAAGCAAGGGTGAGGATTCACAGAATTCCCAACAAGACAGAGACACAGTGCAGACGAATCTGGAGTGCAATAGTAAGGTGAGAAAAGCACAGGAAGGCAGGTGAGAACTCCAGGGTCCTAACGACCACAGAGCAAGGAGGGAGAACCACTCTTATTGGCAAGAAGACCCTGGGATGGCATATATAAAACCTGAGAGGATAAATTACTACCAGTAATTATTTCCCGGAAAATAATTCTCAAGTAAAATAGCACTATTAAAGGAGATTTCCTAATGAACAGAAATTAAGGGGATTTGTAAAGACTTATGTGAAAAAGAACAATATTACAAGAAATGTTAAAGGGCTGAGGGGGACATCAAGACCAGCAAAGACAAAGTTCTAGATTCTACTTTGGTATAAATAGTAACTGGAATCTTAAAGCTAGCAAGCGGCCAACGAAGGGGCAGCTGTTTGTCTCTCCCTGTCCAGAGCAAAGAATGGAAAATGAAGACCAATCAGTCCAAAGGGCTAATGGTCACTGTGACTCCTACCCCTCCAAGACTCTGGGGCCAGAACAAGATGGCACCTGGCTACCACAGCTTACAGCTCTGAAAAGGAGCACAATAGAAGGTCTTGGGGATAGAGTGGAAGAAGAATTTAGAACAAACCGCAAAATCAGCAAAAAAGATCCAACTTGCTGGTTTGACAAAGACTGACAAACTGAACTCACCCCTATGGTTTGCCTTTCAGTCAAATGATAGGCAAACCTATAAGGTGAATGATAATACCAAGGAGGTAACACACTCCTTAGAACAATCAACCACAGGAAATCAAAGGCAGCATTTAGCATTTGCTCAGGGAAAAAGTTCAGAAAAAGGGATAGGAGAGAAGAATGAATGGAAAAGGTAAACAGGGAGGAAGCTGGGGCAGAGCACTGTTTGAATGTAGGGATTGTAATCAATGTCATGAATCAAAATTTGTATAAATTGTTGAATGGAAAACCAATTTGATTTGTAAACTTTCACCCAAATGACTAGAAAAAGTTAGATAAAGAAAAGGGATAAACTTGGCTAGGCCAGGATTCTCAGTATTACATAATTATTCCCCATTTTGTGATCTGATGCAATTATCCTGGTGGTGATGGTGATGTGTCTTGGACTCGGTTCCAACTCATAGCAACCTTGCAAAGGGTTTCCAAGGCTATAAATCTGTACGGGAGCAGAAAATCTTGTCTTTCTTCCACTGAATGGCTGGTAGTTTCGAAGAACTGCTAATCTTGAGGTTAGCAGCCCAAAGCTGCCAGAGCAGTTATCCCATGTCTTGCAAATCCTAACCTCTAAAATGTTAATGGGAATCCTGATGTAGTGCTGCAGAATAAACTCAGATTCACAAGGTTGATGGTTCAAATCCACCAGCTGCTCCTCAGAAACCATATACAGGGTTTTTATGAGTTGAAACCAACTCCGTGGAACTTAAACAAAAAATTGTTAATGAAGCAAGATATAATTTTTAAAAAAGAAATACTAAAGGATTCCTAAAGGGAACATCCTAAACATGAGAGAACAACCTGAAATTAAGATAACAGCATCACCCAGATACCAATCAATGTTAAAATTCTCAAAAATACAGCAAAGCTGCAGACTGAAAAAAGGTACTAGAGACACAATCTGAAAATAACTACAAAACAAAAAGAGGGGATAAATGGTGTAGTCAAAGAACTCTCATATGGAGAGGAAGTCAACAGTCTATTTTTAAATGAGGACAATAAAGGTAAAATTCCAAAGAAAATTTAAAAGCCTATTCACCAAAAATTTAAAAAATAAGTGGAAAGAACCCATAGAGACTCAGTAAATACTGAATCAATAACAATTAAGGAAGCAAAAAGAAAAATCATATATAAGAACCCGGTACAAAAAAATACATGCAACAAAGAAACTGTCAACACCACACACACAAAGCATCACAACAGGGAAGCACTTAATTCATTCCTATCAATATTCACACTGGACGCAAATAAATAGATTAAATGTATTGGTCAAACGACAGAATGTTATCAGAATGAATTAAATAACATGACCTATCAACATGTTGTCTATGAAAAACACAACACAGACACATATAAACAAGCTAAAATTCAAAGGATGGAAAAAATATAACAGTAACCAAAGGTACAGGAGTGGCAATATTAATCTCTGATAAAACAGACTTTAAGACAAAATCCACCAGAAAAGATAAGGAAGGAAACTATGCAATGATTAGGTCAATTCATCAAGAGAACATAACCTTAATAAATATTTATGTACCCAATGACACAGCCTCAAAATACACAGAATAAATTCTAACAGTACTGAACAGAAAAACAGACTTTAACATACCACTTTGGATAAATGAAAGAACTGAAAAGAAACTCTACAAAAATATGAAGACCTAAACATAACAATCAACCAACCAACTTAACCTCATGTGTTGGTGTTAAGTGCCACTGAGACGGTTTTGACCCATAGTGACCCTGTATAGGGTTTCCGAGGAGCAGCTGGTGAGCTTGAACTGCCGACTTTGCAGTTCAAACTGCTTTGCAGTCTGGTGCATTAACCCACAGTGCCACACCAGGACTCCAACTTAACCTCACAGACACATATTATTGTTGTTGTTAAGTACTGTTGAGTTGGTTCTGATTCATAGCAATGCTGTATAGGGTTTTCAAGGAGAGTGGTGGATTTGAACTGCCGACCCTGCTGTTAGCAGACCAGTGCTTATCCTACAACGCCACAGCAGACATATGAGGAGACTTCAGAGAACTCGTGGAAAACTTCCAGTATCTTCTCATTCTATTTTTTTTGAAGTCCCTTTGTATATAGAACGCAATACACATTTTTCACCAATGCACATGGATCATTCTTCAGAATAGACCAAATTTGAGGCCACAAAGCAAGCCTCAACAAATTGAAACACATAAAAATAATACAAAGCATCTTCTTTGCTCACAACACTATAAAAGTAGAAATCAACAACAGAAGCACAAGGCAGGTGGGGAATCAAACATATGAACACTGAATAATGCCTTGTTTTAAAAACTACTGGGTAATAAATAAAAATTTAAAATCCTTAGAATCAAGTAAGAATGAAAGCACAGCAAAAACAGTGTTCAAAGATCAATTTGTAGCAATAAATGTATACACCAGGAAAAGAAGGGCAAAAATCAATACCTTAATTCGAGAACTCCAACAAACAAAAGGGCAACAAAAGCACCCCATGGTGCCAGAAGAAAAGAAATAATAAAGATCAGTGCAAACATAAATGAATCCAAAAACAAAGAAAGGAAAGAATCAATAATACTAGAAACTGGTTCTTTGAAAAGTATCGTAAAATCAACACACCATTGGTGAAGCTGACACTTACGAATGTGGTGGAGCATTGTTGTTGTTAAGTGCTATTAAGTTGGTTTAGACTCATAGTGACCCTGTATAGGATTTCTAAGGAGTGGCTGGTGAGTCTGAACCGCCGACCTAGCGGTTCAAACCAACCTTGTGGTCTGTCCAGAGCTTATCCTACAGCACAATACCAGTACTTGTGTGTGTGAAGCATATAGGAGGCTAAATGATGAAAACGTCTTAGAGACCATCAAGGCAATGAGTTTCTGGGCCTGGGGGTTCAGCTCATAGTCTCAGGGAACACCATGGTCAATCGACATAACATAGTCCACAAAGACAATGTTCCACATCATACTTTGGATCTTGAAAGCTCATGAGTGGCCATCTAAAGTGCAACTACTGGTATCTCCGTGTGTGGAAGAGTGCTAAAAACTGAACATGTTTGGAATCAACTACTCCACGGGACTAATGAAAACATGTCAAGATCAGGCTACATGAAGTAAATTCCAATGTGTGTCAGCACAGAACTGTGCTCCATAGGGGTTTCAAAGGCTAATTCTGGGCGAAAATCAATCATGAGGCCTTTTGTTCTGAAGTATCTCTGGGTGGACGCAAACCTCTAACTTTTTATTTAACAGCATGTTAACTTTTAGTACCAGCCAGGGACTCCAAATTTAAAATTACAGCAGCTGTGTGTACTGAGTCAGTCTGGGTGATGCTAACAGGTAAGTAAGTGTTAGCAGTTCAAACCCTGCCAGAGGCGCCTCAGGAAACAAGTCTGGTGATCTGCTTCCAAAAGGCTGCAGCCTTGAAAACCTGATGGAGTCACTGTATTCTGCAAAAATGGGGTTATCTTAAGTCAGAATCAACACATCAACAAGAATATCAATGCATGCTTCTCCACAATGGCTTCAAACCAGAATTTCTTGTATCCGATTGTATCTAGATTTGTATCTTCTCAAAGAGTATCAGCTGAGAAATACAAAGTTCATATTTAACATAATGTGGTGTTGTGGGTTAATACGCTAGACTACAAAGTAGGTTTGAATTGCAAGGTAAGCTGTTCAAGCTGACCAGCTGCTCCTTGGAAACCCTATATATGGTTGCTATGAGTCA